GGAGCAAGGGAGACAAAAACACACCCGGACCGGACAATTGGCGTCTACTAAACGACCCTGGGCGTTTACTGAACCGCCCTGCCTTGCTTGATTCCTCCTGTGGGTGCGTTTCCTAAACGGCCTGTGTGTTGGGGTGGTTGTTATCGGGGTGGGTTTTCTGCCCCCCACAGGATCGGAGGGGTGAGAAGCGATACCAACACCAGCAGGAGGCCCACCTCCAGCGAGGAGGTCCGCAATGCCTCCCCAAGCGGGAGACTGGGGATGTCTCGAGCGAGAGGGGGGGACCACACCACCAGGGAGACCCCCCTTGCCTCCGCGCATCTCCTCGCCCTGTTGGTGCTGGTGTCGCCTTTCCTTGTTCCTACAGGAGGCGCCGCCGCCGCGCGGCGAGCCGCGCAAGAGGGCGGAGACGAGCGCCAGGCTCGCGGCCGCGGCGGAGCAGCTCGCTGCGGCGGAGGCGCCCGCCGCGGGCGTGCGGGCCGCGCCCGGCTCCGCGGCCGCGCCGAGCCCTCTGGAAGAGGCGCGGCCGGGGGGCAGGGAGCCCGGCAGGAGGGCGAGGAAGGCGCGGGCAGGGAGGGCCGGCCCTGCTCGTTCCTCCCCAGGGCCCCGGGCATCCCAGGAGAGGTGTGGCGGAAGTCCCCGATCCCAGATGCCCGAGCCCCTAGTTTCTTCCATCTCCGAAGCTTGCCTCGGGCCGATTCCAGTCCCCGGGGCCGTCGCAGACGACGGCTCCTCGGATGCTGTGCCAGTCCGTCCCAGGGAGATGGGTCGCGGCCTGCTGGAGGTGTGCGCGATGGGAAAGTCGGGGCGTCTGAGGTCTGGATCTCCCTCATGATCTCCGATGTCGCCCTCCTCCTCCGCCTTCTCCTTCACCTCTACGGGCTCCTCCAGCGCTAGCTCCAACTCCATCAAGCAATCCTCCGCCAGGTCCTCAGATTTCTGAGAAAACTTCATGTTCGGACTTGCGCAGGGTCTGACATGCCAATGTCGTGGCCGCGCTTAATTTCAGAGCGCCCAGCCCTGCGAGATGAGATTGCGGGATGGAGGGCTGGCGCAACGGACCTGCTGGCACAGGGGAGCCGGGGACAGATGCCGCTTGCACCATGCGCCGAAGGAGCGTTCGGCCTTGGCCGTGGCAATGGCCCGAGCAGGGCAAGTGGCGAAGCAATGGCCCGAGCCGTTTGGCGTCGGTCTCATGGCGTTCGCGATGGGCCAGTGGACCCCAAGAGCACGCAAGGAGGCTGAAGACATGAAAGTGATAAAGAACAACGACGCCGTCGCGACGGCCTTGACAGCAATAGTATGGTCTTGGTCTTGCTAGGGTGGGGGGATGGCATAGAGAGGCTTGGTGATGTACTGCCTCAGGAGAGGTTCAGTGACTCACTGCTTCAGGGGAGGTCGTCATTGGCGTTGCAGAACCTACTGTGTTTGTCGCCTCACGGCAAATCGAGCTGGCCCAGCAGTGTGGTATTATCCGCGGAGGAGATTGCCAAGAATTGGGAGCACCTCACCAGTTGCCAAGCCAAGTCTGCGGTCGAAGCGGCCAGGGTTAGAAGCAGAGAGACGTGGAGGACGACGAACACTCGCTCACATGCCCTCCCCAGCCAGCCTCGTGGAGATGGACGAGATAAGCAGGAGGCAGCTGTTTCCACTTGACAGAAGCCGCTCGGAGAAGGTGTCCAGCCTTCCGCGCTGCGTGTATCATGCGCCCTCGCTCCGCTAACAACTCGAGCGGGAGGATGAGCTGGAAGCATATGCCGAAACTGCCACAATTATGGTCTGCCTCCCAGGCCGACGGCGGTGGCCGCAGTGGTCTTGCCGGCGACTTTCCCGATTGCATAGGCATCGGTGTCCCCCAGGAGCGCAAGCGCCTGGCCTTGCAACGCTCGAACTGGGCTCATCATGAGACGGCTTTGGAGGGAGTTCGGGTGCCGACCTACGAGGGCTTCCCAATGGCCGGCGCAGCCCGTCCCACCCAGTCGCGAGAGCATAGCTCTTGGTGCATGCCGCATGCCCATTGCGGAGCATCCGTAGAGGGCGCCCTGCTTGAGACCGCCTCAGCTGAGGCCTCGCTGACTGCAGCATCAGCACAACGAGGCCTCCTAGCAGCAGACTCGCATGCGGAGCATGGGCGTGGGGCCTCTGCAACCGGGACCGTGCCCCATCGCATGGCGCAGTCTCTCTCTTACCCGTCCAGGTCGCCTCCAGCAATCTCCCTGGCGTCTCTCTGAGGCCCTGGCCCCAGTCGTGCGACTGCATTTGCTTTGGCTGCAGCGCTGGGCACACCTCCCACCGTGAAGTGAAAACGGGGTCCTGAGGGAAACGGGCCCTGCGGTTTTTCAGCGTTTTGGGCTCCAGAGGCCCTCCACGCACCCCGGCGCCGTCAATCAACGACTCAAGATGAAGAGCTGGTTCTGGGCGAATGCCCCAGGGCTCAGGACCCGTTTCCCTTTTGACCTTTTTGCTTCATGCCCGTATGTCTAGTCTCCGGCGTGGCCTCTCACGACTGCCAGGTGGCCAGGACGGACGCCGCTCGTGGTCTCGCTCTCCTGCCCGTCCCTCGAACGCGGAAGCCCAAGCGCTCCCTCCCCCCGCGCATGCCCGACCCATCTTCCCCCTCCCCCCCATCCCATCCTTTGCCTGTCAGGCATCAGAGCCCCCCGTCAAAGTGGAGTCTTCGGACGAGTCCTCCACGGTCATCGTCGACGACGACGCGCCGCACCCCTCCAACGAGCCGCCGCCGCGGCGCGAGGAGCCGCGCAGCAAGAAGGCGAAGAAGGACCGGGAGAGCGCAGCGCAGTCCTCGTCGTCTTCCTCCTCTCCGCAGCAGGGCTGCGGGACCTCTTGGTTTCGAAGTGTTTTGGGCGGGTGTCTGGAGGTTCTCGTCGCCACAGTTGGACATGGCTTAAGAACGTCGCCAGGGTGGACCCAGGGAGAGATCTGCGGACAGATTTCGAGTTTGATTTTTCGGGCATCAGGAAATCGGGGTAGGGTCAGGGGAACACGAGGAGGAAGTTGAAGCGGAATATCGGGAGGAAGAATAATATTCTTCCCCCGACGGCAGGACGTGTCAGAAGTGGGTCAAGACGATGAGAAGGAGGAGGAGGAGTTCGAAGACGACAAGGACAAGTGAGAAGTTAATCGGGAGGAGGAAGGGTGATTATCGTTTCGTGAATTCAGGCCGTAAGTATGTTTTCGAATTTGGTGGCATTTTTATAGAGAGCGATTCAAAATGGTGTGCCTAGCCGTCAGGGAGACGTCCTGCCATATATATATATATATATATCTATATATATTTCTGGACGGGAGGGAGCAGGAAGATTCATCGGAAAAGACATATGCTGATGATGACGAGGAGTCGCGGCAAGGCTGAGAGGGAGGACGACGGCAAGGGGGGGCAGGAAGCGAAGAAGGACGGAGGTGAAGACACGAGGAAGAGCAGTTGATGGAGGTAGATTCTCTCCTCCGATATATTTCGTGCAGTCCCTGCCCCACGGCATCTCGACCCCTTCCCCGAGACTGGCTTTTTATCATGAGTTGATTGTTGATGGCCCAGGGCCGGGAGTCGACCTCCAGAGGCTGAAAATTGTCAATCACCGACCGTCGTGATTTTGTCTTTTTCTGAGGGGCGGAGAAGATGAGCCGACAAAGACACGTTTGCGGCATAAGGCACTTGAGCAGCTCTACGCAGGCACGATAGGAGAGGGCCAGGATGAGCCACCGGTTTCGGAGGCCCGGGCTCTCTCCCTGGGCGCTCGTGTGTCGAAACCTCGCTCGATTTGGGCCAGACTGAAGATGCCGTGGTCGGCATTTGTGGGGAAAGCGCCGATGCCGGCCAGTGCCAGGGCCCAGGAGGGGCCCCGTCCCCGCTGCCGCCCCTGCGAGCAGCGCCGACGCTGAGAACGTATGCCCTCGCGCACATACAGAACTTGGTATCGCTCGGACGTGTGCATTTTTCCTTCGGCAAGGACCATCGAGGAGCATCCTGGACCATTTGGCGAAAGAACCACACACGGAACCGAAAAACACACAGGGAATGGACGTCCGAGCGATGGCGAGAGAACCCTTACAGGCAGGCTGCTCGGGGGAAGTGCAGGTGGGCGCACATGCATGCAGGCCGGCGGTGCCCCCGCGCCGCGGCCCCCCTTCAAGCTTGGGGCGCCTGCGCGTGCCAGCGTCCCGCGGCACGCGAATGCAGGGAGCTCCGGGCCAGGATCGGGAAGGGCGGAGCTGTGGCCCTCGCGCGGACGTCGTTGGGTGTGGCACGACCCCTCGGGCATGGTCGGTGTCTCTGTCGCTGGGGTCGAGGTTCGAGGTTCGACCACCGAGGGGCATCGGGGCTCGGGCTCGGCCCTCCAGCAACTCTCCACTCCCGCGAAGCTCTTCGGGCTCTGGAGGACGCTTCACCGTCGGAAGACTTCTCGGGTTGAAAAGCCGGCCCTGGGCAGAGGGTCGAGATCCCGGTGGGCCCACGCCACGAACAATTTGCGACGTCTCAGTCGGGGGCGGCCAATAGGGGGTTGATGGCTAAGGGGGGAGGTCACGGCCATGGCCGTGCTACTTCCCCAACGTTCATGCCCCCCTCTTCTTCTGTCAACGCATCCCCTGGCCACCTACCGCGCACATGCCTGTGGTCATGACTTACGAACTTCCGCTTGGACGCCCCCTGTTTGGACACCTCCGGCACCCTGGCCCTGTGGAAATACGAGGTTATTTCAGAAATGCGTGTCGAGTGCGCAAAAGGCACGCTGGAAGCCATCCGGCTATCATAGGAGACGGCCTCCCCTCTCTGGAAGTACGAAGTGGCATAAGCATCAACTTTCGGAGGTTCGCGCTGATTTCTTAGGCCGGCGCTGGACCAGCCCTAGCGGCGCCTCAGGCGCTGCCCCTGGCGCGCCAATTCAATTGATGCACCGGGCATCCGCAAGTTTACGCCTGTGCCTTGTTTTGTACCCCCGCCCTCCCCCATCGCTGCCTCTGGATTCCAGACGGCACGCCCGAAGCGCCCTGGGCTCGAGACTGTGTCCTTGGGCAGGGCGGCGCTTAGGGCGGTCGGCGGGCGGGCAAGCTGGACCCGTGGCCAGCGGGGTGGCGAGCCCAGAACGTGACCTTCTTCCCTTCCGGCCTCCAGACGCGATTGCTCCCGCTCTCTGTGAGTTTCCCGATGTCGGACCTCGTTGCTTCTTTTTCTATGCAGCCGATCCGCTGGGTCAGGGCCCGATCGGACCGGTGATCCCGCCGACAGGTGGATCGGGCCGGACGAAAGGGGGGGATAGGGAAAGGGGGGGGGTGCAAAATCTGCTGCATGCAGCTGGTTTCGGCCCCGCCGCCGGGCCCATCCCTCGATACATGGGCACCTCCCGGCGCCGCGAGGCGCTGGGAGAATCAGCTAATTACGTGAGCTGATTCTCGACCCCCCCCCTGCTATCCCACCCTTTTGCCCGGCCCGAGTGGAGGCGACCGATCGGCACCCCAGCGGCCGGTCGCGCCCCGCGATCGGCCCACCACCAGCTCCGTGCGCCGCCCGCAGGACGTGGGCGGCCGTCGGGGGCGCCTCGGGGGCGGGGGAGTGGCCTCTGGTGCGCGGCTGTCGGGCGTTGCTTGTTGGGGGGGAGGGGGATGAATGCGGGGGGGGGGCGGGGGATGGGCGGGCGCGACGAAAAATCAAACGGCATATCCCCACCTACGGCCCTCCATGTTGCGCTACGTCGCTTCGGCCCATCGGGCGCCGGAGCGGATACCACGCAAAATCCCACGCCAGATTTACTGGTATACGCCAGGCCCCGTGGGGCCGTAGGTGGGGTGGTGTCGTTTGTTTTCTGGTCCAGAGGGGGGGAGGGGGGGAAGAGAATCGTGCACCTGTCGTGGCCCCTTTGGGCCCCAAGGGGCCCCTCTATGGAACAAAAGGTGCACCGTTCTCCACCCCCCATCAAGCAACGCCCAAGGCTTCAGGGGTGCGCGGATGGGGCCAAACCCAAGCGCGCAGGCCGCCGATGCCGCACTGCCTGCAGCGATCTGCAGGCCGCACACCACAGGCCACCTCTTGTTCGCGGTCGCTCCTGCGCGTGTCCGACGGCGCCCGCTCGGCCGCACGAGCGGAGCGAGGGACGATCCCCCTCGGCGACCTCTGTGTCGGGATCCGGCCCGCTCGGCCGACCCCGCTGAGGCGGCCGAGCGGTCTCGGATCCCGAGCGGGATCGGAGGGGGACGGGCCCACGGGGCCGCGGCCGGGCCCAGATCGGGGCTGTGCGCTCCCGAGGCGGCGAGGGCATGCAGCATCCCCCGGCCATCGACGAGGATGAAGCGGATCCCTCGGCAGGGCTCAAGATGATGAGGCGATCCTCGACGGAGCTGCCAGGGGCCGCCAAGGAGCTCCTGGGCGTGAGGATGAGCAGGAGATCCACCCTCGACCTGGGCGGGGACTTCACCGAGAAGGCGCCCGAGGAGCAGCACGAGCACGACGACCCCGATGCCCACGGGGAGCACGGGCACGCCGAGAAGCCGCAGTCTATCCTGACGGCTGGAGCGTCCGCGGTGATCAATTTTCTCTTGATGTTTGGGCTCTGCTGCGCCTACGGCATGATCCTGTTCGAGGACGAGTGGAACGCCAGGCACCGAGGGCTCGGTGTGAAGATCAACTTGGCGACGGCCCTCGTCGCGGGTCTCATCCTCGCCTCTTTCTCGAAGGTGCCCGTCGCCATCGGCGGCCCCGACCTTAACCCCGTAGTGTTCTTGGGAATGTTGGCGCAGACGATCGCGAAGGAGGTTGCGACCAAGCATGGATTTGGCGACGCGTATCCGGGAGGGAGTTCGACCTGCCCAGGGGAAAAGCCGCTGACTTTCTGTGAGGGCGGCGTTTTCACGTCGAGCGCTCCAGTCGCCCCCGACGACCTCGCTGGTTTCGCAGACGCCGCAGAGTACGCCGAAGCTTGCGATCTCTACCACGAAGAGCTCCGAGCTACAGTGATATTCACCGTGTCCGCGACCTCGGCTGGGCTCGGCCTAGTGTTCTTCGTTCTGGGAAAATTCAGGCTCACCCGTTTCCTGAGCTACATCCCCATACATATCATGGAGGCGTTCCTTGCGTGCATCGGTTACAAGGTCTTCAAGTACTCGCTCGAGTTCTGCAAGTACGAGCCAACACAGTTTGTTCCCGCAGCTTGCGTCGGCGTGCCGCTTTACTTTGTAAAGGCGCTGCACATTGGCAACCCAGCGGTTGTTATCCCGCTCATGTTATTGATCCCTCTCGGCATATTCTACGCAATCGTTTTCGGACCAATGCAGGAAGACTTGCACGGAATGCGCAAGGAGAATTGGATGTTTGAAGAACTCGTGAACGCTGAGTTCTGGTCACCGTGGGAAAACGGGCTGTACATGTCGTGGGGCAAGATAGATTTCAAAGCGTTCGCCGCGGCGCTTGGGGACTTGCCGGTGATGATCATAGTCTGCGGCTTGGATTGCGCGCTCAAGCTGTTCAACACCGATACCAAGCTCCCAGTGAAAACGGACAAGGATTACGAGGTCAAGCTCTACGCCGCAACAAACGTCTTAACCACAATGGGCGGCTTCTCTGTCGGGTACATGCAGCTGAAGTTCAACGTGATAAACTTCGGCGTCATGGGTAACGCCAGCGACCGGCGCGGTGGCATGATGTATGCGTTGTTATGCGGCTTGTGTTTTTTTGGGAGCACCGACCCGTTCAACTACCTCCCTCGTTTCTTCCTATCGACGCTGCTCTTCTTCGCTGGAGCCGGCTTCATCGCCGAAAACTTGTGGGGATCCCGGAAATTCTTGTCGGCGATGGAATGGTTTCAGGTCCTCCTGATCATCGCTTGTTTTATCGTGTCGAGTTCCCTGCTCGTAGCCGTCGTCGTCGGCGGCATTATGGCGGCCTGCAAATTCGTGGCGGACATATCGAAGGTGCCGACCCTCATCGGAGAAGAGCTTCTGATGGGCGACAAAATCATCTCGCACATTCGGCGCCCCCCAGCTGATTCTCTGTGCGTGCGGCATCTGTCTCAGCACTTTCTGCTGGTTGCCCGCCTCAAGGGCTTCCTGTTCTTCGGGTCAGCCCAGTCGCTCGGCGACGCTGTCATCGCTTGCATAAACGAGCGGGCCGGCTCCCCGCAGGCAATTCGCTTCATCGCAATGGACTTTACGATGGTTGACGGGCTGGACGCTTCGGCCGCCAAGTGCCTCGGGAGGGTGACGAAGGCGGCCCAGGAGAAGGTCCGCGCCCGGGATCCATCCACATCCACCCGTTTGGAGACGTGCCCCCAAGGACCTCGCGGAGCGGTGGCCTCCTCCTTCTCCCCGAGGAGGAGGAGGAGGAGCGAGGAGAAGGAGCAGGAAGACGAGGAGGAGGAGCAGGAGGAGGAGGAGGAGGAGGAGGAGGAGCGAGGGCGTCGCCCCGTCGGGTCAGTGTGCGATCTGCCTGGTGCACCCCCTCCCCTCGGGGCATCGCGAGATCACTCGGAGTCGCCGCCCGCTTCATCCTCGCAACCGCGGCGCCGCCAGACGGGGCATCCTCGCAACCGCGGCGCCGCCGCTCGAGATACCTCAAATCCGCGCCGCCGCCGCTCGAGGCACCCTCAGAACCGCGGCACCGCCGCTCGTGGCATCCTCGCAGCCGCGGCGCCGCCGCTCGAGACACTCACATCCGCGCCGCCGCCGGCCGAGACACCCTCACAACCGCGGCACCGCCGCTCGGGACATCCTCGCAGCCGGGGAGCCGCCACCCCCCCCCCGCCCTGCTTCCTCTTGTGATATCTGGTCGTCCCCTGGTATGCCTGGCCGATCCACGCTATCCGATTTCGTTGGGGGCACGCCTGCAAAACGGTTGCGACGGACGCATCCTTGGCACTGAGCAGGGAGTGCGGATTCTCTGGTGCGGGGCCAAAATAAGTATAGTTTCGAGGCTCAATGCCAGCGGCACCATCACCAGCCACAAGCACTTGTTCGACGACCTTGGTTTTGCGCTGGCGTTTGTGGAGAATAAGTTCATTGCCCACATCACAACTTGCCAAAGGCTCAGGGAAAAGGGACATACTGATACTGATGCCGAACGTCGACGTTCTCGGTCTCTGGACCAGGGATCGTCCAACATCAACCCAAATCGAAACGGTTATAAAGGATGGACCCTGGGAACTTCCCGGGCCCTGTATTGAGCGGATTTGCAAATGTGGGCAGACATACCACGCCGATGCCCATCGGTCGTTGAAAGTATGTATCTTTGGATTCCTAGATTCCAAACTATCCAGCTGCCTGCGGCAAGTCCCGCCGCCGTGCCGGCCCAGCATTCTGGGTGGCGGTTGTGGGCCGTCTTGGGTTTTTTTTGGCAGTATGGGGGGTGTCTTGGTGCCTTCTGAAGCCGTCTTGGAACCATCTTGGACCATCGAAAGGGCCTTGTACGGCCGTCTTGGGTCTCTCCGGGGGCCGTCGTTGGGCCGTGTTCTGGGAGCCTCCGGGGCCATCGTTTGGTCCTTGTGGGACGTCTTGAAACTCTGTTGGGGGCCTCTTCGGCCGCCATCGTGTGAAGATGACCATGTATGTGACTTCGCAAGGTTCACAGGAGTAATGTGTGTGTGTGTGGGTCACGTCTTGCTTCCCGTTTTTTAGGGTAGGTTAAGTGGAGATCTCTTCTTAATTATTATTCATGTCGTGCATGCCAGCGCCATATGCTTATGTGCAAATATATTCGGGTTTTTTGTTGTAGTATTCGGCGTATGTACAATTCAGGCAAGCACCATACTACGATTTAGGGTTTCCCTGTTTCATACGTGTTGTCTAAATTTCCAAAAGTGCTCTGGTCTCATTCCATATTGTTCTACTTTGCGGACCACACTTGCGAATCGATAGACACCAGCGCAGCGTGAATAGTAATTTGCTTAAGTTCGGAACTGTGAGTTTCGAGGCGGCTTGTGCTGTTGCACTGCTTCGCTCTCATCGCGTTTCATATAGCTGTTTTCGCTATCAGGCACTATGTCTGTTTCCGACGTGGACACGCTCTCCACGGCCAGCCTTATCAAGCACATCGGTCTCCACAACATCACTTCCGATAGCAAATCGACCAGCAGGGGCAAAATATGTCCAACTCATGGTGCGACTTGAATTTATCAGACAGCATGCGTTGGAAAAGAAGCGAGCGTTCACTGCTGAAGTGCAAGTGTTTTGACGGATGTGGGATGGACACGATACCATCGAAACGAGCACGGTGTCTGAAGGTGACCACGCTGCAAAAAAAACAGCACAGGTACTATTGGATTCCATTCGGCGTGGACATATAGAGCTCAACGAAACCACCAAGGAGTTCATACGTGGATGTGCCCAGGCCTGGGAGAAGCTACGCGGACTCACAGGCGGTAGTACACAAGTTTCATGCGATCGCCGGACGTGTGTCCTATTGGACATGTGTGGCATCACCAGCGAATAGCACCTTCTGTTTTTTTGGCCAAGCTGCGAAAGTGCACGATTGGGACGCAGTCAGCGAGGCGCTGGAGACTCTGTTCGGCAGCGCAGACAGCAAAACAAGGCAGCGACACGGAAGGGGACGTCGTTGCGGGTGGATCTCAGCGTTCGACGCCGCGCCGAGCGACGATGACAATCAGGACGTCGATCACACCAGGGATAGTGACAACAACGAAGGAGACGAGGCAGAGATGGAGGCAGTTTATGCAGAACCCGAAAAGATCGAGACAGCCGCGGCCCTCGTGGGCCTGAGCGACAGGAGCGGAGAGGAAACCAAAACATTTGCAACGGAAGTTTGGAGGGCACAGCCAATGCAGCGCAAGGACGCGGCAAAATCATGCAGGGGACCCATTTCAACAAGCAGCGCCAGTTCATACAGGATGGCAGAGCCAATCAATGTTTTCAACCAGGCAATACCTTCGTCGGCTGTGACGGCAGGACCAGTTCTGGCGCCAAGGATCCCCAGGATTGATTTGCCCTAATTCAGAAGGCAAGCTGGCCCGGCGCCCCAAGCGAAATTGGCCGCCGGGCATGCGACGCGGCCTGCCCGAAGACAAAGTTGGGGACGCCAACGCAAAATGGGAGCGGGCGAGGCAATGGTCGAGCTGGAGTTTCTGGCTTGCGCAGGCCCGGCATCGGACGCGCTGGCCATTGGGCTCGGCCACGCGGCGGAGGTCAATGTGGTCGACCGAGTAGAGGCTGCCAAGTACAATGGCATGGTCGACAGCGCGGCGGCAAACCCAGTGGCGCACCTGGGCTTTGTAGCATTGGATATGGCAGCCCTTGAACCGTTCGCTGGCGGTCGCGCGTCTGACCGAGATCTGTAGAAGCTCAAGTTTGCCGACCTGCGGTCGCCTGCCACGACGGCCCCCGAGAGGGTCAAATCGTCGGCGGCGATCAAGTCAGCGCGCCCCCAGGTTTTGAGCAGCTGCCAGTTTCAAACGCCCGCGTGCTCATGAGTCCTGATCAGCCGAATGCCCTCGACGCGGGCATCGAGGCGAGGAATGGCCAGGCCGTCGGCAAGAAGTTGGCCGACCAACCTGCGAAGATGACGCGGTCTCGGAAGAACCGCCCGACGAGCGGCATCGCCGATTTCCCCGCGGAGGTTCGACGCGCAGAAACATACATTTCTAATGCCATTCCCTCGACGCACGGACGGCCGAGCAGCGCCGGGCCCCCTCGCCGGCCCACCTGTCCATCGAGATGGGCCGGACCAGAAGGCGCCCGCATCGCGTCCGCGTCTCCTGACGCGACGGTCGACGCTTGGATTTCAGGCGCGGCCGACGAGCACGCAGTGCGCACGGGGCGCGCTTCGCAGCTGGACTAGCTATCTGCGCGAGCCTGGGACAGTCGCGACGGAGAGCTACGGGCGCGAGTACAACGCCGCCAAGGTGGCAGAGAGACATGGGCCCGAGACGAGGCTGTGCCAGGATCGCCGCACAATTGGGGACAATCCACTGCGGCCAATCGCACGTGCAGCCGCGGCGATGGAACTCGAGGAGAAAAACCCCGATCTCGCCGTCGCGCCGCCCACGTGCGAATGCCTAGGTGAAATTGTTAGCTTCCACCCCCCAATGGAGATGAGACGACGACGGGCGAAAGCACTTGCGCGCGTCAGGCTCGCGAGCAGGCGGTCAGACATCGAATGGAGGTTGGGCGCCGCGTTCTGCTGGGCAGCCCTCTGTGCTCACAAGTGTGGGAGATCGACGACGAGTTGTCGCCTGATATGGCGTGGGTGCGACGTAGCCAGTGCGTTTTGCCCTTGCGAGACGACGGAGAACATCTGCGTCCTGCGCCTGCGAGAGTCATTGCGGCAGCGGCCACGTTGGCGCGCGCCCTGGAGGCGCGACGTTCTCAAGTTCATGTCCACGGTCTAGTGCAAGGGCGAGGCTGGGAATCAAGCGACAATGGCGCGCGAGCGCCTTAATTTGCCGAGCGCATATCTGAAGGGCGAAAGAACAGCGCGACTTGGATAATCTATTGGATGTGGCGCCATTTGGGTAGTTTCCGACGCTGCCGACGCATGCCCCGCAACAGATTCCACGTCAAGTTCGGGGCGCTTGACGGGCTGAACTGCGGAGTTTTTCGACGGCTGACAGCGCGCGAGTGGCATGTGCCAGCGGTGCTCAGACAGCGAACAAACATTTACATATCCAGCTCCCACATGAAATCCGAAGATCTTGCCGCGCATTTTCAAGCCGTCTGTGGGGCACCAGCCGAATTGCAGCAGCCATGCGGATCAAGTGCGACTTTTGCGGCTCTTAAGTAGACCGCCAGCTCACATCGTGGTCAGGGTGCTGACGTGGCTCAGGTTCATCAAGTGCCTCGGCATGGACATTGCCTACGTGCCTGATCCCAACGGCAATGCGTTTGCCGACTTGGCCGCGCTCGACCTCGCGGCCGACTGCAGCGCCATCCAGTGGATGATGAGTGGCGGAAGCTGCAAGCCACCAAGCCCACATCGCAGCGCGCATCAACGCAGCTTCCCAGGAGGGCGGTCAAAGGGCGCGACGTATGCCGCAGCTGTTCTAGATTGATTCAACTGCAGCGATTTGGTCAGAGTTCGAAGCTCTGCGCGGAGATCTCGGGCCCCCTTGGATTCTGCTGGCTTTTGAGGAGTGGCATCAACATGGCAACGTTGGAAGGGATAATTTTACTCTGCGCGGAGATGTCCACGGAGGTGTTCGCGGACGTCGAGGTGGCAGACATCGAGGATGCGCGCACTGCTGGATATCAAACTTTTCCAACTATGAACTCACTGTCGAACGACAAGGGCTTTTCATCCGCGCAGCGGTACTCGACGAGATTCCCGCAGTGCCACCGTCTCTGGGCGACCCGAGATCCGGACCGGGCGTCCGAAGCGCCACTCAGGTGGCGCCGGCATCGATTTCCAGAAGCGCGCGGAGTGGCATCCCATTAGACAGCCAACAGGAATGCTTTACGACGAGCATTGCTGTCCAAGTCGCGACCGCATCCTGAACAACTTCAGCGCGGCGAATGCATGCGCTACCTGCGGACTGGCGGTGGTTTGCGTGACTTACGGACATCGGAAATGGCACAGGCCTGCGTGGGCGATTCGCTAGGGCCAGTGCGACTACTGGTTGTTCCCCGACGGCGCACTTGTATTGGCTGAACATGACATCTCACGAAGATCTCCGCTCCGCGAGATTGAGGACCGCATTCCTGCGGATCAACGTGAGTGGCGAGGAGTTGCACATAGTCAGGGTGGGTTCGTTGATCTACCCAACGCGAGATGCGCATTGTCACGAGAGCAGCTACAATCCAGGCGTCAGCCTCGACGACCAAGAGCCAACTTGGCAGGCAGAATCACCAGAGGCTTGCATGGAGCCACCACCTGCTCGCGCTGGCAAAGATGACACATTAGCCGTCAGCGAAGCGACGACGAGCGGTGGCAAAGTGGCCTGGGGGGCGGGGAACATTCCAGAATCATGGGTGTCTTTGATCGGCTCGGAATCTCGCGGACCATGCGATACCCTCTTGCGACCAGGAACAATGTGCGCACCGACATCAATGCCATAAGAGGACGTTAGTCCCGTGGAGAGGCCGCCGCGACGGAGGATCTCAATCTACAGCGCGAAGAACTTGTTTAGAAACTCTACGTGGGACCTGTCTGGAGGTGGCCTTCGACTTGTCTTTGGTGCGCGATGTGGGCCCGGTGGACATCATGGTGGAATGCGCGCGCAGGACCGAGCAGGGTCCATCTCGCGGTGCTCCAGCTTGCGGTGGATCCACTACTGGCGAGGGCACGGTGCCACGCGGCCCCCGAAGTCAGATGGGCCGGGGAATTCAGCTCCAGCGCTCGAACAACCGCCGCTGGGTGCAATGGCGGGGGGCCCAGCAGCGGGCGCGCCGGACCGAGCGCTCGCCAGCGTCAGCGCGCCCGACAGCGAGCGGATCGACCCCGAGAGAACGAGGACATCGAAGTCAGACGCGCCGCCCTCCACTGGAAGACGCTGGGCGACGGAGACGACGATCAACGGAGACGACGACTCGAACAGACGGTCCCCTTACACACGCCGACAGGGTCGGCGGACTTATCGCCCCGGCTTCGCCACCAGTTTCTGCATTCATCAAGCCAGCAGTGGATCAGCGGTAACAAATTGTGCTTTCACCAGCAGGAGTGTTCACAGCAGGCATCTCGACCGGTGGTTTGTGGATGGCAGTGATTTGTATGCTTCTGTTTCTGTGCGCACAGCAAACCAAGTTGGCGGAATCGAGTGCGGTCATGAGAGCAGTGTCTCGGACAGCCAGCTCCAGAGATTGGATTGCGTGCGATCCGGGACCATGCAATTTGCACGGACGGGACATGGGAGTCTGAGGTCCACCACCAGTTTCAGTTCAGAGTCTTGAAGGTCTCAGCAACTTTCGCGCAACAACAAATTGAAAGGCATGGGGCCGACGCTGAAATCATTGCCAGCATCTACCCGATATGGGGGGTTACGGGAACTGGAGCTACAAGCTTCAGAAATCAACACGGACCTCGTAGCGAACTGCAGAACGTTAAGAGTGGTTGAGGTACCCCCTTGTGTGTGTCATTTCGTTTTTGGATGTTGTACAAATCAAATTGCAGTGTTGGCTCAACGTATTGGATGTGTGATCACGTGTTGGCTCAACTCCGCAGTTCCTTTGACGCATGTGTTTCGTCCAGTGAGAAGATGGCCATGGATGTGGCCTAGGAGCGTGTGTTTCACGCGTTTCCCCTTTCTTTTTGGGGTGAGTGGTGCGATATGGTTTTGCGTGCCTTCTGTTCCAAAGTATTGTGAGTGGCCGGTGCCTTGCGCTTTCTTAAATGATTCAGGGGACCCCTTTGTGATCTACCAACAGATCTGTGATTTTGACATGCACCAGATCAAGACAGGGCTTCCTTGTTGTATACGTGCTGAGAGTATTTCCACGAGCGATCTGGCCTCATTCCAAATTGCTCGGTTTCGCCGGGCCCACCTGCGAGGAGCTAGAAGCAGTTCAGCGTCAAACGAATCTACATTGGGGCCATGTTGGAAGCTATTGGGCCGTCTTTAGCTTACGGAAGACCGAACAGACGATATTGTGAACATGCTGCATTTTTGTTTTATATATACATACATATGGCAGCATTGGTCATAAAGCATCGCAAGATCAAGGGTTCTGACATTTTCGGACTCTGTTGGTTGGAGGTCCTCTTGTGGTCCTCTTGGAGCCCAACGGGGCCGTATTGGGCCGCCTTGGGGCAATATGGGGCCGCCTTGGTTGCATCGTGGGCCACTGTGGTGGCCTTGGTTGCCTGCGTGGGCCGTCTTGGAATTTCGGGAGTGCGGATCCACAAATGTTTAAGAGGGATTGTGGCTTCGGTCGCGCGGGTCCATTGTTTTGTGCAGGGAGGCGGTGTTGCATCGGGAGGGGAGGTTGAGGGGGGTGTCTTTGGAAGATAGCAGAAACCCTACCAGACAGGCGTTGGTTTCTTCCACGCCTCAACGTGTCAGTGGGCACGTTGGACGACTTCAGGACGTTGGATTTTTTTCGGCTGGTTTTCCCTCTTCTTTCCTCTCCTGGGGACGGACGGAGATCATATTTGTTTTCGACGCGTTCCTACTTCACGATTGGATCCACCTCTGGGCCTCCTGGGATGCGCCCGTCGTCACGGCTGGGTCCGCCTCGAAGTCACATGGCCACGACGCATCTCAAGGGGTGTGATTGGGGGTTAATCATGGCATGGGCCATGATATCCCCCACATCTAATACCCCCCTTCGTAGTGTTCCAGGCGTTTCCTGGTCACCCCTCGTCCGCGCACATGCCTCGAGCTGCATTGCTGCTGCATCGGCGATTCGCCGATGCATCGGCGGTGCATCGGCGATGCATCGCCGATGCATTGGCGACGCGTTGCGATCCCCCGACCCCACTTATCCAGATCACATCTCGGAGGCCTCTACATTGTAGCATCGGTGTGGTTTTGTGCCCCCCAGGCTCTGGCTGAATTTGCACCCTGGGTTTGCAGTTTTCCGTGGACTGCTGGCACAACAGGCAGAGTTCGAGCCCTTCCAGGACATCCTGACCTCGGATGCCAGTCGCTGGGGGTGCCCCTGGGGATTCTGCAACAGGTCACGAGCGACGATCACATCCACATCCCTGCCCTCGCAGTCTGGATGCCGAGGCACGATCCTGTGGATCCGCGATCCCACGGATACGGTCCGCGCGGGGCATCTGTGCGAACTTGCCCTGCATCCAATTGGGCCCTGGCGCCGCGGCCGAGGAGTCCAGACTGAGAGGCCGCGGATGTGGATACGTCCCCCGTCCACGAACAGGGTCAGCTTCAAGAAGCACGAGACCATTCTCTGGAGCCCCGGCAAGTGCGACGACCTCTTTCTCATTCACTCGGGAGCAGTTGGCCTCTTCACGAGCATCCCGGAGGAGCCGGGAGAGTTGGTATCTTTCTCATTCATTCGGGGGCAGTTGGCCTCCTTCTCATTCACTCGGGGGCAGTTGGTCTCTTCACGAACAGCCACGCATGTGCATTGCAGTGCTTCGGGGCGGCTGTCAGGGCAAATCGAATAGGCATACGAATATGTGGCAGCGGGAGGAGCAGCACAATGAAAGATGCGAGGAGTGGAACCTCTTCTCGAGCAGGATCGACCCGAGTGGTCCCTCCGGGGCTAGGAAACGGGGAACCAATAGCGCTCGTTGTCACCTTCTGACGACGCCCGGCCAGCCGGCCCGTACACGTCAGGGGTAATACGATTCGGCTCGGCGTCGAGTTTCAAAGTCTCGCCCCCTGGCTGAAGGAGGTGGGCGGCAGTTGGGGCGATCTCGTGGTTACGTACGAGCGGGGCAGCCTTTTGAACCGGGAGGCAATCGGGCTGCAGGAGTCCAACGATTACTTCGCCATCGCGCTGGAGGACGGGGAGGCCTCGCACGGGTAGACGAGAACATGTGGGCTCATTGTCCAAGCCGTCCTGTGGTGTTGGGTCTTCGTTTTGCAGAGACAGCGCCGTGCATCTCACCTCCTCCCGCTGCCCCTCCCTCATGCCTCTGCTCTCGTTTCGTGACGGGAGCTCGACCGAAAGTCCCAGTTGCAGCGTCCGCGCCTATTTTGGCACAGCCGTAACACCTTTCGTGGCCCCATACGGAGCTCCGCCGAAAGCCTCAGTGGCAGTGTCTGCATGGCGGCACCGAACCCATTCTTGACACCTTTCACACGTTTCGTGTTCCAATACGGAGCTCCACCGAAGGCTCCAGTGGCAGCGTCCTTATGGCGGCACTGCACCCATTTCGGCACACCTCTCACTCGCTTCGTGGCCCCATAGGGATCTCCGCCGAAGGCCCCAGTGGCAGCGTCCGCATGCCGGTATCACCGCCTCTATTTCGGCACACCCTTCACAAATTCCGTGGCTCAACAGTGTCCGCATGGCGGCACCGCACCCATGTCGACGTTCCCCTTTCCACGTTCCGTGACCCCACAGGGAGCTCCGCCGCAGGCCCCAGCGGCAGCGTCCGCATGGCGACACCGAACTCGTTCTGGCGCACCCCTCACACGTTTCGTGGCACCATCAGGAACTCCGCCGAATGCCCCAGTGGCAGCGTCCGCATGGTGGCACCGAACCCATTCCAGCACACCCGTCACGCGTTTCGTGGCCCCATACGGAGCTCGAAGGCTCCAGTGGCAGCATCCGCATGGTGGCACCGCACCCATTTTTGGGGACACCTCTCACACGTTTCGTGTTCCAATGCGGAGTTCCACCGAAGGCACCAGTGGCAGCGTCCGCATGGCGGCACCGAACCCATGTCGGCACACTTCTCACACGCTTCGCGGTCCCAAAGGGATCTCCGCCCAATGCCCCAGCGGCAGCGTCCGCATGCCGGTATCACCGCCCCTATTTCGGCACACCCGTCACACATTCCGTGGCTCAATTGTGTCCGCATGGCGGCACCGCACCCATGTCGACGTTCCCCTTTCCACGTTCCGTGACCCCACATGAAGCTCCGCCGCAGGCCCCAGCGGCAGCGTCCGCATGGCGGCACCGAACTCGTTCTGGCGCACCCCTCACACGTTTCGTGACCCATGTCGGAACGTTTGGCACACGTTCCGTGGCCATACACGGCTCCGCCGAACGCCCCAGGTGCAGCGTCCGCATGGCAGTACCGCTTCGTGGCCTGATAGTGAGCTCCGCCGAAGGCACCAGTGGCAGCGTCCGCATGGCGGCACCGCACCCCTTTTAGCGCACCCGTCACACGTTTCGTATCCCTACAGGGAGCTCCACCGAAGGCTCCAGTGGTAGCGCCAGCATGGCCGCGCCGCACCCATTTCGGCACACCACTCACACGCTCCATGGCACCATTGGGATCTCCACTGCAGGCCCCGGTGGCAGCGTCCGCACGGCGGCACCGCACAAATGTCGGCACACCCTTCGCCCTTCGTGGCCCAATTATGGGTTGCCGCCGAAGGCACCAGTGGCAGGGCACGCACTGCGGCACCGCGCCAATTTCGGCATACCACTCACACGTTTCGTGGCCCCAAAAGTAGCTGGCTTCGCCGAAGGCCCCAGTGGCAGCTCCGCATGGCAGCACCGCGCCCATTTTTGGCACACACACACACACGCACCACACGTTTCGTGTACCACCGGCCTCGCGAGACTTGCAGTTGCACATGATTTGGGCCTTCGTCCGGAAATTCTTTCCCGCGAGTGGGCCCTCGTCGCCACAGATGAGTCCGCCTCGAAACTTGGTCAGAACGCGTTCCAAAAGAGATGCGGACTCCGATTTCGGAGGGAGGAGGGAGAGGAGGAGGTTCTGGGGAGAGGAGCTCCGCCTCCATCTCCTCCCTCCAGCCTCCCTCCATCTGGTCCTCTACGCCTGTTCATCCCCCGTCTATTATCATCCTACTCCCACCTCTTCCCCCCGCTCCCCCTCTTCCTCCTGCCGGCTCGTCTTCATCCTCCCCCCTTGGCTCGCATACCAAACATTTGGGCTCTGGACTCGCGCCATCCTCGCTGCGCCTCGGGCTCGCGCAGCCGCGGGCTCTACCCGTGGCACCTCCGTCGCGAATGGCAACAAGTGGTTCGCCGAGGACACCGCTGACAGCCGCAGAATGGTCTGGGCGGCCCCCTTGAATTTTTTGATGGGTGCGCCGCCTTCACCGCCACCGCATTCGGTATCCAAATCCAGACCAGCGCGGAGGTCAATTATATCCAGACCATCTTCGGCAACACCTCCGCAAACGTCTACAGCACTTGCGGCTCCTATTCCCAGACCGTGCATGGCTGTTCTGTCACGCCGGCTGGAGCTGCATGACGATCTCAGCCAAAGTCTTCGTCAGCACCACTTGTATCCGACCCATAATTGGTCGATGTTGGACGGCCTGGCATTCCGGAACGATGCTGAACAATTCCCGCGGTGCCAAAATCGGGTGTTGCTAGAAGTGCCCCTGGCCAAAGGTGCCCCTAGCTTTCGCTCAATTTTGGAGCCCTGGGGCCCTCTGGGCCTCGTGAGGGGTGCTCTGGAGGCTGCCTGGGCCACCCCGAGCATCCTGGGGGTACCCTGGGCCAGGGCCACTTCTAGCAACACCCGACTTTCAAGAACCGGCGCCGGAGGCGGCACGACGCGCACCTGCCGTGCTCGGGCAGCAAGCCAACGGGGGGGCGCGGCAGAGGCCCAGGCCGTCGCCGGGGAGCAGATGACCGCGGATGGCTGCCCGCAGGATCAGACGGACACGAAGGAGCCTCGACAAGAAACGCGTGCCCTGTGAGCTGGTCCATTCCATGGTGAGCCGGTCCACTCCCTAGGTGTAGGTTCTGAAGATCGTGAGGCTCTCGAAGATTGATATCATTTTCCTCAGGCGCTCCTTAGTAGCATTTAAGACGCTCCGTGGCAGTTTTTAAGGCGCCCCTCAGCAGCTAGAAAGGCGCTCCTCAGCAGATTACGAGGTATTCCTTTGCATGCTTTCAGGCGTTCTTTTGCAGCTTGTACGGCGCTCCTCAGCGGCTGTTATGACGCTCGTCCGAAGCTATTGAGACTTTCCTCAGCAACTTGTATGGCCTCCCTTTGCAGTTTTTATGGCGCCCCTTGGCAGCTACCCAGGCGTTCCTTAGCAGCTTGTATGGCGCTCCTTAGCAGCTTTCAAGGCGCTGCGACTTCTAAGGCGCTCCTTTGCAGCTTGAAAGGCGCTCCTTGGCTGCTACAGCGCCGACCCTTGACTTCTTTCGAGGCGCCACGTGGCAATTCTTCACGCTTCGCGTATCCCCACCAGCCCCTTCGCCTCTCGGTGCTGGGCCACCCCCCTGCGCCCCGCCCGTCGTGGGGCGCTCGGGGTTCCTCCGTCGCTCTCCCATCCCTTCCCGCACGGGGTCGACGGACACCTGGTCCTCCCCCCCCCTGCGCTGCTCATCCCTGTCGGTCCTCTGGCTGAGCCCTCCTGCCACCTGGGCGGCGCGTGCCGCTCGCACCCGCCCTAACGGCACTGCCCCTTCCAGTCCTCACTTTGGGCCCTCTCGCCACCTTGGCGGCGCGGGCTGCTCGCCCCCGCCGGATAGCACCCACGTCATCCCTCCCTGCTTCGTCCTGCCGTCCTCTGGCTGTTCCCTCCCGCCACTGGCGGCGTGGTCTGTTCGCACCCGCCCAGGCTGCCACCCCGACACTCCTCGGTGTCTGGCGATTTGGATCTATTCCGTAGAGCGCCCACATGCCTAGTCTTTCCTCTGAGACGGTGGCCTGCTGTCATACGTTCCGCGGCCTTCGTCCTACCGTGGGCTCGCTGTTCGTCATGGTGGCGGTCCTCTTCGTCGGGGACGTGATTGGCTACCCGAATTATCACCTGGTGCTGCACGTCGCCAGGAAGGATTTCCTGGCGTGCGCTCTCCTGTGAGCGGCAGCGAGGCTCGCCTCCTGTTAGTTCCCCTCTTGCTTGATCTTGTCTCCTTTCGCTTTCCTCATCCCGTGCGCTAAATTTAGGCCGGCGCCTCTGCGCTTCGCCCCTTGACGCCGCCCGATCTCTCGCCGCGGTCGCGATCAAAAAGTATTCCCGCCAGTCTATTCAGAAGCCTTGCCCGCGAGAGCTGACGGGAAAAGGGGCGAAGGGACACATCGAGGGAAACAAAGCGAGCAACCAGGATGAACCGAGAGATCTCTGGGAGCAATGGGGCGGCTTTGGAAGGCCTCTTCGGACCATCCCTCGGGGCCGCGTGGGGGCGAGGGGGAGAGGAGGAAGAGGAGGAACACGTGGAGGGATCCAAAGTGTGTGATCCCTGGTGCTGTTGCTGCTGCTGCTGGTGCTGCTGATGTTGCTGCTGCCTCTGCTGGTGCTGCGGCTGGTGCCCTGGAAGGCCTGTTGAGGCCATCTAGGAGAGCATCGATCAAAAGATGGGGGGTCCTCCATTTCGGCCCCTTGCAAGGAGCCCTCAAACTCGTCTCTTGGAGCTCTCCTGAGGCTCATTGGGAGTTTTTTTTTTTTTTTTTTTCTTCCAGAGCTCGTTTAAGGGTATTGCGGCCCTCTTGGGGCCCTCGCGGGGCTCCGTTGGGGTCCCACAGTGGACCCCACCTAGAGTTTCACTGGCAGCGCCCACATGGCGTTCCTCTTCATATCGGCATACCCTTCGCATGCTTCATGGCCCCATGAGGAAATCCCCCGGAGGCGAAGACCGCAACGACGGTACCCACAACTGCAGATGGTTGGGCCCTTCGCCAGGATACTATTTCCCGCGCGCCGCCCCATGCCACATTGAAGTTTGTTTCTCTCGATCGGTTCCGCCGAGGGATCCGAGACCCGCGCGAAGCCAGGCCGAGGTTTGGAGAAGACACAACAGCGCGTCGAATGGCTTTCGGCTCATCCTTTCGCCTTGCTTGGCGTAGTGGACCATATTTTGAATGCATATGGGTACAGCAGGGTTCCTTTCCAGAAACCTCGTCAAGGGCTCTTGGGACCTCTGGAGGGCCTCTTGGGGGTTCCTGGAGGCCTCTTCGGTGTTTTTTTTTTTTGTCTTTCTTTCCAGGGCCTGTTGGAGGCTTCTTGGGGGCCCGCTGGGGGTCCTGGAGGTCATCTGGGGGCGGAGGTCTCGAACTGTCGGTGCTTATGTCCCCTCGTGGGTCTCTCGTCGGGTTCCCTTTGGCCGTCTTGGGGCCCTCTTTGGGGCTCATGTGGCCGTCGTCTTGGGTGACCTCGGGGGCACATTGGGCTACATTGGAGCGATGGGATATCGAAAATATGAAACGCAACACAGGTCCAACCTCTGTGTTAGGGAAGGGCAATGATTAGTGCATCGTTTGGGCCGTGGTGGGGGTCCTCTGGGGAGTCTTTTTTCCAGGGGCAGCGACGACGGCGTGAGGAGGAGGGAAGAGGAGAACGAGGTGGATGAGGAAGGCCCCCCCGTGTTACTCGGGAGGGGGAAGGGCCTTATGGTTCGCCCTTGCTTTCCTCACCCCCCCCCCGCCCTCCCCCCTCCTGGGAAAACGGGTGCAGGGAAGGGGCTTCCCGTGCATGGATGGCATCGGACAGGAAGAGCAGCGTGGTTTGGGATGGGTCGGTATTGCTTGGGTGTGGCTCGCCTGTGCAGGGGTCTCACCTGGCTGGCCTTTTCACGCACTCCGACAGGGCCGGCGGATACTTATCCTTTTCCTCTTGCAGTCTCATGCTATAAGCTGTTTTCATGGCCATCATTACCATCCCCCCTCACTCCTCTACTTCTGCCCTTTTGCTTTTCCTCCTCCTCCTCCTCCTCCTCCTCCTCCTCCTCTTCCTTGTAAGAATCATCAACATCAACAGCAGTCTCATCATCATCAGCAACATCAGCATCATCATCATCATCATCATCATCATCATCATCATCATCATCATCATCATCATCATCGTCATGATCGTTATCATCATCACCGTTATCGTAATCATCATCATCATCATCATCATCATCATCATCATCATCATCATCATCATCATCATCATCATCATCATCATCATCGCCCATATGCCGTTTTCCTGGTGCATCTTGCTTCCATCTGTCCTCCTCTTCCTCCTCCTCCTCCTCCTCCTCCTCCTCCTCCTCCTCCCCCCCCTGCCTCCTTCTGCTACCTCCTGCCGTCTTTCCCATCCTCCTACTGCATAATGCCTTCTTCTCCATCCTTCGCCTCCCTTTCGCCTTTTCCCCTCCCCAGAGGCCCTGTCGTGGAACCAGGCCCAGCTGCGCCTGCTGCAGGAAAAGCAGCCCGCAATTGCGACAGCGCTGCAGAGAGCGGTGTTGCTGCAGGAAGCCCAGGACCTTGTCCTCCTCCTCCTCCTTTCTTTCTCCTCCTCTTCCTCCTCCTTCTCCTCCTCTTCCTCCTCCTCCTCCAATTCGCACTGCTGCTCTTCCTCCTCCTCCTCCTCTTCCTCCTCCTCCTCTTCCCCCCCTCACTCATCATATCCCGGCGTCGCCAACAAAACAGTGCGGCGACAAGATCCAGCCAGGATGAAAAACTCGTCCTGTGAAAAGCCGCAGGGTCGAGGAGTTCTGTCCAGCATGATCCGTTTCCAAATGCAAATCGCCAGTCGTTGATTGGATGCTGCATGTTTTGCTGGATATTGTTTCGACGTGTTTGAGTTTGGCTTCCGTTTGCGGGGGCAGGCTCCAGAGGCCTCCGGGGATTTTGGTGCTGTCGGTTGCCCTCTGGGGCCCCCAGGACTTCAGATCTTGGTGATGGAAAAATCGCGAGCGGCGTTCTCGCCCCGGTCAGGGGCCCCAGGACCTTCATAGATCGATCGCGCTCGAGAAACGAGACAGAAACATGGGATCGAGGGATCGGGTCTTGCGACGTAGCTTTTTTCTCACGATGCCAGGCATCGGGTTCCCCCTCCTTCCTCCCTTGGTTTTACCGAAGCTTCCAACAGTACAGAACATCAGCTCTCTAGAACGTATGTAGAACAAAATATATACAGAGCTCCCGCGAGACTTGCCCAGCAAATCCAAGGAGAATGGGTCGGCAGCGGGGAAGAGAGGGGGATCGTTTTGCGGGGCCCCGGGGGTAGTTGGATCTACTGCTGGATCTCAGGAACTTCTGGAGGGTTCCCTTCCTCGTCGTCGTCGTCCTCCGCCTCCTCCTCATCGTTCATGCTCTTGTTCCTCTTTGAGCGGGAGCGGAAGTGGGACGGGGAGCGGAGAAGGGGCTTCACCGTTTTTGCTGGTAAGGGCTCCTGCCCATGGTTCTCGTTGTCCGTCTGGCCTCTGGCCCCAGACAAGACGAATGAACAGCAGGGTGCGTCGGAGTGGCTGGCTGATGTTTCACAATACGTGCGCGGAGGGAGGTGTATCGAGCTTTGGGGTCGATGTCTCTCCCTGGGAAGCTCACGATTTCTCGATGCCTTTCCTGCATGTTCCTTGTCGGAGTCCTGGTGGGTCCATTCAGGTTTCACCAGGAAGCTTCATACTTCAGAAAGTGTGTGATTCCAGTGATGCGTTGCATCTCATGGGTGTTGCACTCGGCAGTTTTTTCTCCGCCCTCCCCTCCCTGCGCATCCTCCCCTCCGCAGGATGCACGGCACCAGGGCATGGGCCCGCACGCCATCCCGATGTCCGTCAAGGGGCGTTCTGTCGCTGGGTCTGCCGGTGAGCGCAGGCTCTTCGTTGTCGCCGTCGCCGTCAGCGTCGTCTTCAAACTCCCGTCTCTAGAACGCAGTGCCTATTGATCTCTGCCAGCGGTTCCGCGGCCCTCGCCTTATGCGCCGGTTGCACGTCGTGCAACAACGAGGGTCCCGCTCGAGGGAGGAGGCTTGATTCCAAACATTGGTATCTGAAGGCCAAGCTGGGACGACAACGGCTCCCGCCGGATACTTTCTCACAGTTTGGCAGAGACGCCCTGACCAGAGATGCACTCAGACTCGAGTGCGGCATTTCCGCCTGCGACGACCTCGCATGTCATTCAGGTATGCGGCGGCCCACCTGCAGCAAGGCTGGCTCCTGCTCGATGTCTCCTTGCAGTTTACCCAGAGGCTCCCTGGCCAGGCACGTCCTCAGACTCAGGAGCGGCGTGTTCCGCCCGAGGAGACCTCCCGGGTCAGTCAGGTTGGCGAAGGCCCAACGGCAGCCATCGTGGCTCACGCTCGACAAGTCCAGAGACGCCCCCGCAGTCTGGAGTCGTGCTCTCGCCCGACATATCCAGGCAATGTTCTCAGCTTGGTGAGGCAGCAGCGGCTCCCACGACACCTGCTCGCGATGGGATCAGGAGCCTCGCCCCCGCCCCAGACTTACCCTCAACGGCCTCCAGAATCGCGCGCTCGCCGCCTGGGCGAGGGCTGCCTGGCCGCTCTGCTCCGTGGAACTGTCGCTCTTCACCCTTCAAGGGTGAAGAGCGACACGCAGGGAAAATGTAGAGCATTCCTTGCTGAGCCTCCCGCCGTTCAAGTTTTCCCGCCGTGGGAGGGTAAGGTCCAATGGACCTTACTCCTACGGCATACCCCCTCCCCTTTACCCATCCATCCTTCCGTCCTCCCTTCGCCTCCCTCGGCCTCCCTCCCCTCTCCCACTCTAGGGCCCGACCGCTGCGCTCCAGGGTTTTCTCGCACCTCTGCTGGAGCTGGTTTGAAGTCATGAGGTCCTTGAGGAGGGGCTTGCGTCCGTTAGCTCAGGTGGCGGGTGAAAGGAAGATGTCTGTGCACTCCTGCCCGAGACTACTACGAATAGAAGAAGCGATTGAAATACAATGCGCTGAAGTAGATTGGACTGGACTTTGGAGGACTCTGGTTCGCTCTACTCTAGTTTACTCTACCAGAGTCTTTACAACCATTTACCGAGGACGCCTACGGCGAATCACCGCCGCCCTCTGCCTTTTTTGAAAGCGCCTATGTGGCCAGTGCTCCGCCAAGCTATCGGATAGGAGGAGGAGGAGGAGGAGGAGGAGGAGGAGGAGGAGGAACACGAGGAAAAGGGCTCTGAGGATGAGGAGAAGGAGCAGGAGGAGGAGGAGGAGGAGGGGCAGGATGAGCAGGGGCAGCACGACGAGGAGGAGAATGAGGAGGAGGAGGAGCAGGAGGTGTAGGAGGAGAAGGAGGAGGAGAAGGAGGAGGAGGAGGAGGAGAAGAAGGAGGAGGCAGAGGAGGAGAAGGAGGAGGAGGAGGAGGAGGAGGACCATCTCGGACGAAATATGAAGCCATTCTTGGCCATTTTTGCCGTATTGGATGCCGTCTCGGGCCATTGTGGACCCATCTGGAGGTGGGAAAACCTTTATTGCGAGCCTCTTTGGCTGTCTGAGGGTGTTCCTGGCCTGTCTAACTCCTTCGGGAGCCGTCATCCGGACCTCTCTGTACCGACTTGGGGCCCTCTTTGGGTGCTTCATGGCCGTCTTGCAGGCCATCTTGGGCGTATTGGAGGTCTTTTGGATAGTATGCGGGCCCTTTGGGGCCGTCTCGAGGGCCTCTTGGGCCGCTATGGGGCCATCTTGGAGGCCTCCTGGGCGGTCTTGGGACGATCTTGGGGGCCTCTTGGGTCGTCTTCGGCAGTCGGAAACCCAAAAAATTCAACATCCTAGAAGAAACAATGGGAAATCAATTGCTTTGGCCTCTTCGGGCCTTCCTGAAGGAGCTCTTGGAGGCCTCCTCGGCCGTCTAGAAGGCCTCTTGGAGGCCTGTTGCAGGCCTCTTCGTCGGCCTTAGGCCATCTGTGGCCCTCTTGGGTCCATGCTGGGGCCTCTTGGGGCCATCTTGGGCGTCTTCATGGCAGCTTGGAGGCCATCTTCAGACATTCTAGCCCTCTTGGAAGGCATCGTGACCCGTCTTGGAAGATGGTTTCCGCTTTCGGGGTCCCGTCAGCGTGGCCGGCGGTACGGGCCAAACCCCACGGGGGAGCTTCTTGGGAAAAGAACCAACACCAAACCGCAGCACGCCAGGCACCTCTGTGGCAAGCAAACAGGGAGCGGCGGATGGCGGATGACGGAAAGCGCGCGTAGCGTGGCGATCTGTTAGCCAGGAGAAGTAACAAGGGGTGGTGTGGGGGGAGGGGGCAGCCCTTGCCCCAGCTGACGGAAAGCGCGCGTAGCGTCGCGACCCGTGAGCCAGGACAAATAACAAGGGGGGTAGGCAGCCCCACACCCAGATGACGGAAAGCGCGCGTAGCGTCGCGATCCGTTAGCCGGAAGAAACAAAAAGGGGGGGGTGGGGGGTAGGCAACACAAGGCGCAGATGACGTAAAGCGCGCGAAGCGTCGCGATCCGTAAGCTGGGAGAAATAACAAGGAGGGGGGGGTAGGCAAAACGGGCGTGGATCGAACGGCCCAAATCTCAGCCATGTTCGGCCCAAGGCGGCCCAAGTCAGCCCCAAGAGCGTCCCAGAGCCCCCAAGATGGCCCAAGGCAGCCCCAAGAGCGCCCGCGCTATTTCCAAGACGGTGTCGGATAGGTCCAAGAAGGCCCGAAGACGGCCAATGAGTGCTCAAAGAAGGCCCAGCATGGCTTCAAGACGACCCAAAAGGCCCCCAAGACGCCGGAGGCCCACAGGGTACGCCCAAGAGGCAAGTCTCGTTCCAATTCCCCTAGCTTCTTTGGTCTTCTCAGTGTCCAAGACGTCCCAAGCGGCTCCCAAGACCTCCCCAGGACGGCCTCAGAGGACCCAAAGAGCGCTCCAAGACGGCCCAAACGGGCCCCACTCCATCGTCGACGGCGAAGACGAAGTGCCTCAAGAAGAAGCTTCCGACTGGGGGGGCGGAGCGCCGCTGGCAAACGCGGAGCGGCGCCGCGCGGTTCTCCGTGACGCCGTCCCTCCGCAGGTCTACTGCGTGCGAAGGGCAGGGATTGCGGGTTTGCCTCGACAGGAAAGCGCGGGCAACACGTCGGTGATGTTCGGGAACTGGGCCACCATGCCGAGCAAAAGCTAACACCTGGACCACCTTCGGAGAGTAGAGCTGCAGCTACTCCACAGCCCTGCTCTCATTGTTCGCCTCGCAGAACGCGAGGAAAGCATGGGGGCCATTCTGCAGAGGCAGGGTCCACCTCTGCCGCGGGGGGCGGACGCCTCCACAGCAGCGGAGGCGGCAGCCACGGGAGGCACCAAGAGGGTGCAGAAAGAGGCAGTTGGCAATTGCGCGAAGCTGCAGCAACGCGCAGAGTATGAGTACCTCACCTTGCGCGGCAAGGAGACGTCGTCCCTGTGCATCGCTGCGCGCGCTAACCTCGCCCATCGCTTTGAGCCGCTCCAGTGGGAGCGGCATGTCGACGGCACCTACAAGACCAGGCATGACCGCGTGGCCCAAGCTTTCGCCAGGATCATGGTGGCAAAGGTGTCCTTCGATGGCACCTGCGCTACCTATGATTCGGAAGTGACGGTGTGCGTGGTGCATCTGCACCACGACGCCGCCACGGCCTCGGGTTGCAGGGCAGCGGCGAAATCGTGGTGGGCAAGGTTGGCGGCCGTTCTTCAAGAGAACCATGTTTATGTTTTCGTGGGCGATTTTATCATGGCGCTCACGCAGACCGCGCCGCGCCTGCGTGCCCTGAATCTGCAGCTGGATACAGCAGCATTATCCGTAAGGGCTTCGCCCCCTGCCGCCGGCCCCCTCTCTCGGAGAATGGGCCATGGAAGAGCTAAGTCATGAGGCCTTGGCGCTGTCGTGAAGCAGTATCGAAACTTCATGCGAAGCCGATTCGCAATCAGCAAAACCAACTGATCACAAGAGGGGTTACCACACCTGGCGATTGGTAAGACGTGTATGGTTTACGGGCTTGGTTACCACACCTTGCGATTAAAGGGCCGAGGGAGTTCTCGCAGTTTGGGTTACCACGCCTTGCGATGGATGTGCGTGAAGGGTGGCACCGAATTTCAGAAATGTGGCAAATCCCCTGTGTTTTTGGACCCTGACCCCGCGGATCTGCGTAAGGGGTGGCGCCGAATTTCAGAAATGTGGCAAATCCCCTGTGTTTTTGGACCCTGACCCCGCGGATCTGCGTGAGGGGTGGCACCGAATTTCAGAAATGTGACAAATCCCATGTGTTTTTGGACCCTGACCCCGCGGATCTGCATGAGGGGTGGCACCGAATTTCAGAAATGCGGCAAATCCTATGTGTTTTTGGACCCTGACCCCGCGGATCTGCGTGAGGGGTGGCACCGGATTTCAAAAATGTGGCAACTCCCATGTGTTTTTGGACCCTGACCCCGCGGATCTGCATGAGGGGTGGCGCCGAATTTCAGAAATGTGGCAAATCCCCTGTGGTTTTGGACCCTGACCCCGCGGATCTGCGTGAGGGGTGGCACCGAATTTCAGAAATGCGGCAAATCCTATGTGTTTTTGGACCCTGACCCCGCGGATCTGCGTAAGGGGTGGCACCGAATTTCAGAAATGTGGCAAATCCCCTGTGTTTTTGGACCCTGACCCCGCGGATTTGCGTGAGGGGTGTCGATTTCGAGCCCCCCCAGCAATTCAGACAACGCGCCCAGGTGGTGCTAAAAATCTGGTTTGGGCCTCCCTCCCCTCGCGCGGTCAATCAACTAGTTACAGTAACCAGCAAGAAGCAGAACTGTAACACTGGAAACTAGAAACTACAACTGGTACAGGAATCTGCGAATCACGCGCCTCGCAGCCTGGTGGCCCCACAAGGGGGCCGGCGGATTCTGCTGGCGCGGGTTGGATCGCACCCCGTGCCTGGACAGCTGCAGGATCTTTGTCCGCGCCCGGCTTGGTGAGTGCGAGGCCCGTGGCCGCTGAGCGCCTTGCGCGGCCGAGACTAGACGGGCTTGCTTTGCAAGGGACCGTCTGCGATCGGCAAGGCACGCTGCAAGAACAGAGACAGGCGCGGCACCTCCGCAACAGCGAGGGCGCAAGCGGGGGCGGCCTCCGCAGCGGCGGGGGCATCCAGCAACCCAGATGCAGAGGCGACGCACTGGCATCACAAAAAGGAAGGAGGCCCTGGGATGCCGCGGGATTGCTCCTACCCAGAAAAGGCACCCTCGCGAGCATTTCGAGGACCTTCTGACGCCGATGCCAGCATCCTTGCGCGCAGTCCAAGCGAAAACCAACGAGAAACAGAAGCGCGCGGAGGCTGAGGCGAATGGTGATCTTCGCCTTTTCCAACGCGCCGGATGTCCCCCTCCTTCCCCGCGCGCAGCAGAAGAAGTTCGAAGCGGATATCGCGGAGGTAGATGGGCGCTGGCACGGCGGCGCCCACTACCCTCGGATGTCCCATGTGCACATGGCCTGCCAGCGTTCCCCCGCAGGGGAGCAAAACAAGGCGAACCGGAAGGCGGAGAGACGCGCCCAAAGAAAGAGGGCGGAACCGACCGCGGCGCCGCAGCAGCGGCTCCCGCAACAGCGGCGGTGCCCGAGCAGCGCAGACACGTCGATATCCGAGCGCGGCGAGTGGCCTGCAGTTGGCGATGGGAGGTCGCGGCGGCGGGGTGGGTGACCATTTAAGAGAGACGACGGAGGGGGGGGGGGGCGGAGAGACTTGGAGGGGGGACGGGCCGGGAGAGAGAGGAACAGAGAGAGAGAGAGAGAGAGTGATGATGAGGATGACGACGGTGAGAACTGAGGAGGATGGGGACGACATCAGTGAACGAGGAGTGGGCTGAAATTGCAGTGGAAACAGTTTACGACCCCAGGGTGGCGGCAGCGCTCGCCGTGGCCATCTTCACGGCAGGAGCCGTTGGGGCATCGACAGTGGGAGGACAACTCGCAGCAGTGGGAGGGGCCGCGCTAGCCCTCGCAGCAGCGGGGGCCACGTCAGCAGCGGGGGGGCAACTCACGGAACAACTTGCGGGATAGCTCGGGGAACTGGCGGGGGGACAATTCGACGAACTGGCGAGGCAGAAGGTGGGGCAGTGAGCGCGCGAGGCCACGGCCAGCCAGCGCCGTCGCCAAAACACCCCCTCCATCACCCCGTGCCGAAACGCCCTATTCAGTGCTGAGCGCGCGGGGCGCTCTTGCCGCAGCACTCGACGAGGATGGGCGCATTCGCATTCCCCCTGGAGACGCAATGCCCGTGCCCGAATGGCTTCGAGAGGCCATTCGGAGGCAGCGCGGCCAGGCCGACGACCCCGCGACCACGAGGAGGAATCCATGGGCTGAACTATCCTGGGCCGCGGCACACGGGCCGCCCCTCCGTTGCAGCGGGGGGAGGCCGCGTGGGCCGCGCAACGCCGCGACACAGCAGCGGGGGCGGTGACGTATAAACCCGAGCGGCGGCTGTTCGTGCGCACCTTCCTTCTCGGCGACAGCGGCTCGCGCGCGCTGCCCGGGCGGGGCGACGGCAATGTATATATATATATATATGTATGTGTATGGCTGGTTATCTCTACATATTTGTATATAGATATCAAATATATACATGTTTATATGTGTATGCAATACTAAAAACATGCGTTTTGCTTCATTGCCTTCTTCTCTGTGATTCATCCCATTCCCTCTCTCGTCTCCTCCTGCTTCTGGCGTTCTGTCGTCGTCAGTCGTCGCACATAGCGCAGAAGCAGCCAGACGAGCCCCTTTGTGACAGAGGCGCTCTCTTCACGAACCCCTCTTCGACAGAGGGGTTCGCAAAGCTTCGCAGATTCATTTAGTCAGGCGCATACATTGACGGGAAGAGAGGTGCGAGTGATGACGCACTTGCGTGGGGCGAGTGTTTCCGGGGGAGGCGCGAGGTGGATGGGGTGGGGCGAAGCTTGCTGGGGAGGGGTCCTGGGGGGGTGGGGCGAAGCCTGCTGGGGAGGGGTTCCGGCGGAGGTGCGAGGGGGGGAAACATGGGGCGAATGGCCCGTTTCGCTTGTATTTGTTAGGAGTGAAGCGGCGCCCGGGCGCCTTCCATGGCCCGCCCCTTCGGATTAGTTCCAAGCGAAGCGGTTCAAGGACCCCGAGACGCCCCGAGAGGGTCCCAACACAGCCCGAAGACGGCCCCAAACGAGCGTCATATAGCTTCCAGACGGTCCAAGAGAGCTTCATGACGGCGAAAGAGGCCTTCGAGAGGGCGTGGGAAGGCCAAAATATTGCATTCCCGTAGGTTTTGAAGGTTTTTTGTTTTGTCCTCGCCTCTCCAGGCCCAAGAGGGCCCCAAGATCGTCCCAAGGCGGCCCCAGAGGCGTTTCAAATATGTCGAAAGCGGTCCAAGAGGGCCCCCAGCCAGCCCAAGAGGGCCCCCAAATTGCCCAAGAGGGAGGGCCCCGATACGTCCCCAGGGCCCCAAGAGGGCCCCCAGAGGCTCCCACGAGGTTCCGAAGAGGCGGCGTGGGGATTGGGCTGCTTGGGCGCGGGGATTGGGCTGGCCCCAAGACGGCCCAAGGGGGACACAAAACGGTACAAAACGGCTGGCGACCAGAATGTTGACGCATGCTCCAGGACGTGGGAGGAATTTGTGCGAGGAGTGGTACTAGCATGAGGGGGAGAAGGACGAGCAGGAGGTGATCAAGAGGGGGAGGAGGCGGGCGCGAAGGAATGAGGAACAATCGGGGAGGGGACGTGAGAAGGCGGGTTGAGGAGCGGGCTCCAAATCTTGACGAGGCATTGATGCCGCATTTTTGTTTTCGCGACGCCTGGATGTGTGGACCGAGGTCCGCTCGACACAACTCCCCTGGCCCATCCTGGAGTCCATCCTAATCCGGGGGCAGCAGAAGGAGCAGGGGGGTAGGGAGGAGAAGCAGGCCAAGGATCGGGTCTCTCATTCCCCCTCCTTCGACCCCCGTCCTCCCTCCCCTTCCCTTTCTCCTCCCTGATTATTTTGCGTGCTGCCTCGGTTATCATATTGGCCGCGTCTCGACTTTTTTTTCGGATCGCGAAATGTCCTGGATCGAGGTGTCGAGTATCAGCCCGAGGACATGTTCTGGAACGCGCTCCGGCCGAAATTTCAAGGTGGATCCGGCCGTGGCTGCGAGAATGCTTCCAGAGGCCCGAACAGGTCTGTACATTTTTCAGTTAGGAACCTCGATCCTCGACCGTCTCCCACCGTCTTCCAGCTGGACAGGCTGCCGGGCAGCTTGCGGCGGCTCAGGGCTGGCATCGCCACGGCCCGGTGGCTGGGGCGGTTGGGCCTCTTCGTGGCGGATGAGTCGCGGCTGGAGGACACCTTGTGCCCGCCGCTGCCGCAGGTGTCGCGGGGGCCAAAACAAGACGCGGCCTGAGGAAGAGTGGAGGGAAGAGGAGGGCCAAACCTCCAACGCGTCTCGGAGGCCGAGAGGTTGTTGTCAGCACCAGTATCGGCGGTTGACTCAACCGAGCGAAGATGATCCTGATCTCGATCATGGTGGTCAGAGAAAAGGGGCCGAACGGTCATTCACCGTCTCTGAGTGCGTGGCTGAAGTGGGGTTCTGCGGTGCGGATCGTTGTTGCGTTCTTCAAACATATGTTTTGTTGATCCCCCCTCTGGTGCACCTTGTGTTTTTCAAGTCAACTGTTCTTCCCGGGGTTCTCATTTTTTTCACTGGGGGAAGTCTTCCTCCTCAGATTGCGCCCCTGGCCCCCGACACACAACAGCAACAAAAAAAGGAAGTTTAAGACTGCTCGCTCCTATCTGCTCGCGTGCCATTCAACACGTACATCCCAAACCCTCGGTACCCGCCCCCTTCGTCTTCGATCGTGCCCTCGTGGGTGCATAATGTCCTTACCTGCCACGCGCATGAAGCGCAGCCCCTTCAACTAGGAAAGAGACGGCGGATGGAAAGCGGAGGTAGAAGGATGGAGCACCAGAGCCAAAGCAGGAGAGGGGGTTAGGAGCCGAAGGCACACGGCATAACCAGACGGTTAGATCGGGCGAGCAGACATTAGCCGGCGGGTCGGGAAGGCGGGACCAGGCGGCCTGGTCAAGAAGGCGGATTGCTGAAGCGTGAGTCCTGCATGAGTCGTGAGGAAATCTCTAGCGATAGCGCGATTTCCAAGTAAATCGTGAGAACAGCAAAAGCGCGAGCGTGATAATTGAGTGTCAGGTGCGCTGCGTCTGAAAAAGTCAGGAGGTAGTTTCACGCGAGAACGCCTTCCCTGCATAGCTTGTAAGGAACGCCCGCGCGAAAACACGAGTTTTGAACACACTGTGGGGAGGTATGAGGCGGGACCCGTTGTTGTTGTAGTCCATGTGCCAGGCAACCAGCTTGAGTTTTAAGATGTTCTCTGCTGCAAAACAGGATGAGAGCCTGGGAGGAGCACTTCGATCGTAATAATACATTGTGCGCTGGAAAGGGGTCAATAATACTTATTTCTGTCAGCAGTGAAAAATCAACACGCAATGGGTTCCGCCTGCTAGTTCCTCAAAATGCATGTCAGCATCGTTAAACCACCCCCCGATTTTCACAATTTATATAAGAGTCGCGCTCTCGCGTGGGATCTCCTCCAATTTACACAAAAGCCGCGCCTTCGACGCTCAGGAATCGTGCTTCCGCTATGGTTGTTCTCACGATGTTTTCGGGGATCGCGCTATCGTTCGAAACTTCCTCGCGACGCATGCAGCACGCATGGTTCAGCAACCCACCGTCTGCAGGATTCATTCCTCGCGATGTATGCACGACCTCCCGACCCTCCCCATCAGGCAGGGTCTACCCGCCCGATCAGCCCGTCTGGCCCTGCCACGTGTTTCCTGATCATAGCCCCTTCTCTCGTGCCCCATCCTCCTCCCTCCCCCTTCCATTCGTCCTCTCTTCCTTGGTTTTAGGGGCTGCGCGAAGAGCGCGGTTGCCGAGGGTTTGGTAGATGCGTGGTGGTTGGCACTCGATATGGTAAGAGCGAACCGTCGCAAACTGGCGTTTGTTGTCGTCGTCGGCTTTGGTGTCGAACTTTCCTTTATTCAGAGTAAGTATTGTTGGTCCGCCCTTCTGTGGCTCTTATGGTTTTCAATCAAAGTGTTCCTCCTTGGGCTAACACCCTGCTAGTTGTCAGGGAAAATCTGGTGACACCAAAATGGGCCCTTGATGTGTTTACATCGGGAAAGCTTGATGTCACCAAACTTGGCGTCTGCTCCCCCCCTACAACAAGAAGGGCTCCCGCCTGCTTCCGCACAGCTTATTTCAAAGTCGCGCTCTCGCGTGGGAGTTCCTCACAAGTGTTGCAGGAATCGCGCTTTCACGTGGGACGCCGTCGCAGTTTATTCAAAAACCGCGCCCTCGACACTCAGAAATCACGCTCTCGCTGTGGCCTTGTTTGACGATTCGCCTGGGAATCGCGCTACCGCTCGAGCTGTCCTGGCGAGTCATGCAATGCTCAGGCTTCAGCCGAACGCCTTCTCGACTTGGCCGCTTAGGGCCTGCTTTCCCGGTTCGCCCGCTAGGGTCTACCCGCCCGATGGGCCCGCCTGGCTCTGCCACCTGCATTGTGTTCCGAAGCCCTCTTTTGCGAATGGCAGCCTAGGCGGCCTGGTCTTTACTTCCGCCGACCTTCTGCCGATTTTGTCCGCCGCCTTGCGCCGCGAAAGAGATGGCAACTCCTTCGATCCCCGAAGGCAAGGTTTGTTTTTCATCGGTTCCTGCCTCCCGCGACGTGAGGACACGATCGTGGATGAGAGAATGGTCCCTTGGGAAGGGGCTGATAGATTCGGGGGCCCAAGGATGATTGAAACACTCATGACATTTAAGGTCTGGACAAACATTGAAGATCGACGCTTTTAGAGAAGTTGGGGTCTTCTTGAGCCGCTGGGAGGCTCCGCGTAGCAACGGAAAGCCACGGGAAGCCATCCGACCCCGTTCGAAGAGCGCCAAAAACATCTGAAGTTCTCCCCTCTCCTCCGACGTCGCATTTTTGTCCGTGATACGGAGTCCCTGTAGATCTTGACACAAACCTTTGTGGCCGGTTTTCCATATTGATTTTTGGTTCGACGGTCACAAGAACGGGACGTTTGCTCCACAGGCCGCAAATGTTGGATCATTGGCCGCCATTTTTTCGCTTCGGCTCCCAGATTTGGAGGCCATACCACGGTGGCGACGACGATGGCGGTTTAACCACGACAACGACGGCGAAGACGCGGCGCCACGAGAAGAGTCGAGCTGTTGTCGCCTCCTGGACCCACCGAAGAGAGGGAGGGCGAAAAGGAGGAGGAAGTCGACGACGACGACGATGACGACGGCGACTCCGACGATTGCGACGGCAACGATGACGGCGACGAGCGGCGTCGCTGGCGACGGCCAAGACGATGGCGATGCGACGCGATGACCACGACGGCGACGACCAGGGCGGCGACGACCACGACTGCGACGACTTCGACGGCGACGGTTGCAGTCACGACTCGGATCTGCCGCGTTGCCGTCGTCGCCGCGATCTGTCGCCGCCGCCGCCGTCATCGTCGTTGTCGTTGTCCTAGTCGTCGTCGTCGATCGTCGTCGTAATCCTCATCGTTGCCGAGTCGAGCTGCCGTCGCCTCGCGATGCGTCCCGAGCAGGCTGCGGTGGAGGTGCTGAGGACAGCCTTCTTCACGTTCTCCGAGGGCGGCAGCCTAAGCGCCACCAAGGCTCTTCTCGCCGGTGACGGCGTCGGCGTCTCTGCCGTCGTCGACGTCGACGTCGACGTCATCGAAGTCGCTCTCCCCCATCCCCATGCCCTCGTTATGAGAAGCACGTGCACTCCACGACACGACCGCGATATAGACGCGACTTGACATGCTGATGTGTTTGCTTCACCTTCTGTGATTGGTAATCGGGCTCCTGAGCAACTCGCATGAGCCATAAGTTAAGCCTTCACGATTATGATTAAGCCGCTCCCCCATGCCCCCCGTTCCCGTCCTCCTCTTCCACCCCCGCTCTCCTCCTCATCCCCATCTTCTTCCCCTGCTCCGACTTGCCCAACCTCCGCCTCCTCCCCCTGACGAGAGCACGCGTGACAGTCGACCTTTCAAATGTTTGCCGCAATTAGTTCATTGAACTTGTAATCCACCTCCTCTTCCTCCTGTCCGATCCCCAGAAAATACAAACACTCGCAAACCTCCTCTCAATATTCCCCATCCTGGCCCCACCCCCTCCTCACTCCTCCCCCTCCCTTTCGTAGCGGGCGATGGCAACGGAGTTGACCGACCGCGCTGGAGTCGTAGTTTCAAGGGCTTCCCTCCTTCCCCACTTCAATAAGAGCGCAAAGCGCAGAGCCATCTCTCATGCTCCCCTCCTCGCCACCTCTTCTCCCCACTCCTCGTCTCTCCTCCTCCCCGTTTACCCAGCGGCACAGTAGGCGCCGACGAAGCCGGGCAAGGCCGCCTTCGGACCAATGCCAGCACAGCAGGCACTGGCAATGCTGTTTGTGTCCCTGATGAGCGAAGGATGTGTGTCTCTAGATCGCTCATTATCCGAAAAGGCTTCGCCTTCCTCCTAGTTGGATCAGTTTCGCAACCACGGCCTCACCCACCTGGTCTGGGGCAGGCTCGGACGCTGTCCGCAACGGTGGTCGCATCGCTTCGCATCGCGTCCTTCTCCCCCTCTTCCTCCTTCCTCGTCGCTCTTGCTTCTTCCAAAGAGGTGGGAATATGAGAAAGAAATGAACAGGGCGAGGAAGACGCGAGGCGCGATGATGATGAGGATGGGGGAAGGACGGCAGGAGGTTGCTGATGGTTCTTCCAGGTCGTACTGGGAAAATCCATGAGGCATCGAGTGACAACCGGTCCATCCCGACACCGTGCCTGGATCATGGACATGAGGCCTTTTGTGGGGCTCTCGGCAGGCTTCTTGCAGGCGGCTTCGGGGCCTACTGGGGGCCTCTCAGAGGCCTTGGGGAGGGGCCCCATGGGCCCCAGAGGCTGGGGGCAAGATTGTGGTAGAGGGCCTCGGAGGTCCTTTCGAAATCCCCATGTTGATGGAGGGCTACTGGGGCCATCTTGGGGGGCGAGTGGGCTTCTTCGCCCGTATTGGGCGTTTCGAAAGTCACAAAAGCGAGCTTGTGACAGCAAGTGCCACCAAACATCAACCAGCAGCAACTAGCGACTGGCAGCGTCGATTTACTTTCGAAGAAATTATTGTTCAAATGCAGGTGATGATGCCGAACGGTCATTCACTCTTCTTGGGCGCGTGGCTGAAGTGAGGTTCTGCGCTGCGAGTTGTTGCTGGTGTTGGTGTTGGTGTTTTTTTGTTATTGGTAGTTGGTTGTTGGTTGTTTGTTTGTTGTTATTGTTGTTATTGGTGTTGTATGTTGCTGTGCGTTGTTGTGTTAGTTGTTGTTTGCTGTTTGTTGTTGGTTGTTTGTTGTTTGTTGTCGTCGCCCCCCCCGCGACCTGGCCTGCGACCCGCCGGCGACCCGCGCGCGACCCACCCGCGATCCGGCCCGCGACCCACCCGCGACCAACCCGCGACCCGGCCCGCGACCCGCCGCGACCCACCCGCGACCCACCCGCGACCTTCCCGCGACCCACTTGCGACCCACGCGCGACCCGGCCCCCGACCCACGCGCGACCCACCCGCGACCCGCCCGCGACCGTCCCACCCGCGACCTATCCACATTGCTTCAATGAAATCACAGGCGTATGCGGCGAGCTCATTGTGTAAATATGGCGCCTGCGGCGGGTTTCTTCAGAGCCTCGCAGAGTGCCGACGCCCCCGCCGCTTCTGCAGTCTCATCCGCAACTGCAGGGGGTACGTACGCACGCGCAAAAACGCTTGTATTATGCATATGTACATACGTAGACAGGTGAAATGCACACTGGAGCGCCAATCGCTAGTTCAGAAAGCCAACCCACCCGACCCCCAGACCGCCCCCGCGGCAACGGGAAGTACGGGGTGGGGGCCGAGGTGAGCGGGGAAGGGCGGAAACGCATTGGAATAAGCCACGAGCAACGCAACAGCCTTCACTCACGTCTTCGAAAAAATCACGAGATGAACAAAGCCACGCCAGCACTGCAATCGTACATAAGTTCAAACGTGTGGGAGCGCGCTCCTGCACTTATATGCAACGTGTTAGAATACCGAATTCTGTTTCAGAATAAGGCAGTTTCTGAAATGTGCAGTGAATCTTGACTCTCCGGCTCTGGCTATCCAAATCCCGCCTGCGAACACCTTGAACCCGATATGGTTGTGCATCAGAACTGACACCCGCACGCGCAAGACAACCAGTGAAATGTGTTGTTGGTCCATCGGCTGGCCTTATACCACAGGGGGGGGGGCTTCTTGGCGGAAGCCTGCATGACTTCAGAGATTGACAGGGGAGCTCGAACCACCCACGCCTCAACCGCCACCTCCACCCCTTCCTGCGCACGGGTCGCCACCTTCTTCAGCTCTGAGGTGGGGTCTCAAGAAGTCAATGCCCAGCATGAATTCACCCATTGCAGTAGAATTTGAAGCTTCGCAAAGCAGCATCGGACGACCCAAACATGATCATTCACAAACACCATTTCCCAGTCCCACATGAAGAAGAACTATCAGCGAGAACCCGCTGTGAAGATAGTCTGGCCGCTGACGGAGCCCTCGGCGAGGCCGACCGAATTTTCGACCGCAGCGCGACCGCCTGGCCGTCTGGCACGACCTCGAGGCGCCTGCGCAGCTCCTGCATCATGGTCGAGTCGAGCCTCGCTCCGACGCCCGCGACGAAGCGGTTGCGCGTGGCGTTCAGGCGGCCCCCCAGCAGGTCGATGCCCAAGCACGCTTCATCGACGAAGGATGCTAAATTTCGCGCAACTGGGGGCGCCGCTCCATTTATGGCCATCGTCAGGCTTCGGAATGCCGGGGCCGCCGCGCCAGCTCCGCCTGCCGCGCCCTCCGCCAGCGCCACCGTTGCATCTGCCCCCGGCCGAGGCATGGGAAGACGCATGCCGAGAACGCCGGCAGCTCTAGGAACCCGACGCCGATCGGGATCGCGCACGGGGAAGCCCGCGCGAGGGCCCTTCAGCATTAGGCATTTTCTTTCACATCCTACCTTTGGCCCCCGTCTCCGCCGCCCTACGCTGGCGCGGCGAGACGGGGCCCGATCCTGGCGCTGGCAGGCGCGCGAAATGTCGCTGTGCTTTCGCCTCGCCCGCCGCGTCGCCGCCGCTGAGGCCGTCGGCGGCAGCGGCGATCCTGGCGACTTTGCCTTGGGCGGGGAAATGGCCGTTGGGGGCGCCGCGCGCGATTGCGATCCGCTTGTGGGCGCGTTGACCCATGTCGCGGGCGATCCTGGCAAGAACGGCGGGGGCGGCGCCTGCTCTTGCGAATGCGCGTTCTCCAGGCCCCCTTTCTGGGCACAGGCGCCGCCGCGCCAGACCGCGCCCGTTCGGCGGCGTCTGCGGCGGGCTGGCGAGAGGCCGCCGGGGTGCAGCGCCGCCGGTCCCGCCTGAGCCAATGCACTTGCGGTGCAAAGCCTTTCCTATCGAGCCGAGTCAAGATGCGCCCAGCTTCGACGACGTCGAAGTAGGTCCCGAGACTCGCGCCCGAGCCCCCCCCCCCCCCCGCTTGCTCATTTCTTCGAAGGTCAGGCCCTCGTATCTGCTATCAGTAGCCCAGCCCGCCCTGGGGCCGCGGGGCCCCGGCCCGCTCGCAGGCTCAGCGGGGCCCCCGCTTGCTCGGCGCGAAACCTGCGCTGAGCCAAGCTGCGCGCGAAGAGCGGGGCGCCGGCCGGGGTGGCCAACATGATGAGCTCTCGCGTCCAACCGATGCCCTTGTCCTCCTGGAGTAGCCCGGCAGCCCGGGGCTGCCCGGGCTTGGTTCCCGTCCTTGGCGCCGACGCGATGGGCGCAGGGCCGCTGTCCTGGCTGTTTGCGGCATCTGTCGAGGGAACCGCTACCGCTGGTAGAATGCCCGAGAGTCTCTAAGACCTGAGACTCGCGCGGCACTGCAAGATGAGACCGAAGATCAGACGACGCCCCCCCCGCGATGCCACGTGGGCCCCGCGGGGCCCACCAGGGAGCTCGCGAAGAGGGATCGTGCGTTCGCGGGGCGATCGACGCTCCCAGCTTGCATTCGCAGCCTTGGCCCGCAGCGCCTTCCCGCGCGCATTTGGGGGGAGCTGCTTAATTGCTGCTGCTGCGACTTGAGCGACTTTCGGCGGCGCGGGATGACCGTGCTGATCTATTCTTTATTCGACCAAAAAAACACCCCACTGGCCTGGCCCTCCGGGGCGCAGGCCGCGCTGCAGAGCCCGCGAGGAGAAGGTTAGGGCGGCGGTGCGGTATTTTTTGAGAGCCCCGCTTGTTGCTCGGGCGACCTGGCCAGCGTCGAGCCGCCGCGGGCCTGGAGGCGCCGCGCCGCCTCCATGGGGGCAGCGCGCCTGTTGTCTGATGAGCGGTGCCCATCCAGGCCGAGTAGAGCTCGATGCCTGCAGCCAGCGCACGCGCGCCGGTCATTCGCAGCAGAAGATTTACACGGGGAGCCGATAATCTCCCTTTCGCCACCGTTGCCGCCAGAGGCTCGTTGTCCTCCACGTCGCCCACCGCGTGCTCCTGCGCGCGCGGCTGGGTCGACGGGCCCTGCGCCAGGCGGGCCACGGCCCTCGCCTCGCCTAAGATGGCGCGTCGGGCCCGCGCCGGCGGCAGCTCGGCCTGCGCCCCCTGAGGGATCCGCG